CCAAGAAGCAGACAACAGCGTCGTTACCTCTATCGATTGTAGGATAAAGGACATCTACTCATATGTCCTCCTGGTTGTTCTCTGCTCTTTCTTTCTTTCCAACCCATTCCCATCCTGTCTCTTGGTTGTTCTTGCCTTGCCATCGAAAGGACAACTTGTTGCCGCTCATCCACCTCCTCTTTTCTAAGCCTAAAAGGCTTCAATTTTGGATCATTTCAAGCGCCTCAAGCCCTCTCCTTTACAGTCGAGAGCTACGCGCCTCTTTTGGACAACATTCTTCTTGCACAAGAAATCATTCATTCTATGCGGTTTATGAAGACTGGCTTCTTTGCCGTTAAAGTTTACCTGGAGAAAGCCTATGATAGAGTAAGCTGGAAGTTTATGTTGGAGACTTTGCTTCAGATGGGATTGCCTAGTCATCTTATTTATCATGGCCATGCGGGTCTTAATCACTGGCGATAAAACAGATACCTTTTATCCGGCTTCGACAGGGTCATATCTTGCTCTTTCTTTGTCTTGTGTATGGAGAGAGAGGTTGAGCCACTTAATTCAAGCTGCAGTCAACTAGGGTGAGTGGATCCCTTTTCGGGTATGTCGGGGGTATCACACTTGTTTTTTGCGGATGATTTCGTCTTGTTTGCGGAGGCTACGATAGATCAAGTGGCTGTAGTTCAACGCATTCTTCAAGAGTTTTGTGGTGCCTCTGGTCATAAAGAAAAAGTTAATGTTATAAAATCAAAAGGGTTTTGTTCTTGCAATGTAATGTTAAGCCTCAGTTGGCAAGTTTGTATTGCTAGCACTGAGACATACTAGACTAATTGGGAAGTCTTAGCAAGCAAGTCGATAGATAGTAATAATCGATTCGATTTGATCTTCTTCTTCTTACTTGATGTCAAGAAAGTGGAAATGAACTCACTTATTGGCTAACGTATAAAACAAAAAACCAGATGCTTCGTAACCAAACACAAAAAAAAGCTTTCCTTTCCCAGCAATCAAACAAAACTAAAGTGCAAACGCGCGAAAGCCGTTAGACGAAGAAGCAAGGGTACGAAGTAGCTCAAGCTGACACTTGAGCGAAGAAGCAAGGGTACGAAGTAGCTCGAGCTGACGCTCGAGCAAAGAAGCAACGGACTGAGCTAGCGCAAAAGCCGGTGCCCCTTAGCTTCGCGCATCCCTTTTCTTGCTCATTGCGCCTTAGCTATTGAGTTTGATTGCTGCATCCTGCTAGACGGTATTCGTTTTCTTGCTGGGGGAGGAGGGAAGATTGCTGGGTTTAGGGCTTTTTCAGCTTGCTGCTCGTTTTCTCGCTTCCGATAGGCGAAGGGATTGGATTTCACCTATGATCAGATCAGTGGGCAACCATAGTTTACTTTTTTCGTGGTGTTGTTGAAAGCTAATTTGTAAGTAGGCCTCGCTTTTCGGAGCTGCTCCCAGCTCACACTATGGTGGAGGAGGTGCCGTGAAGATCTAGGAGTGTGAGCAGTACGAGCTGAAAGGCTCCCATACTGTTTGGAGGGCAGGGGGGCATAGATGCCAAACCAAACCTGACCCCTATCTATTGTCGTAGAAGCTGTTCCTAGTAAAGATTATGGTTCTTGGGTATCCAATCAATTAATCCCACAAACCGGGGAAGCTTAAGCGGAAATGAAAGAGTAGGGTGAGGGATAAGGGGGGAAGCCACTAAATGGAAGGCTTCGCTCGCTCGCTCTAATGCTCGTTTAGTAGACAGCGAGTGGAGTGCATAAGCCCCTTTTTCTTTAGAGATAGGGGCGAGTACTGTACTACACGAGCTCGTAAGTCAAGTACGGAACGAGCCTTGTCTACGAAGCAGAGCGACCTCGTCTTGCTTGCTTCCGGCGAAGCTTCTAGCACTAGATAATAGGCATTTTTTTATGGGAGGAATACAACTTTTAAGGCCGACCACTACATAGGAGCGATCGCGAAGCCAAGCCGTATAAAGGCTCAAGCCCTTGTTTTTTTAAAAAACACAATTCTTTCTGAGATGGCCAAACTTAACCCTGACAGATCGGCCTTTTGGGATGAGTACCGAGAGTCTCTGCTGCGTAACGCAATCCTTCACCGCGATCGACTGACTGAATACAGTCTTCCAGTCTTAACTGAAAGGCTGCATGAATTGCGGGAATGCGGTAAAAAATCTGTCCTTTATACTCTCTCAATTAATGAATACCCAAAAAAAGGTTTTTATCACTTACTTGCGTCAGTCTTGTATGAAAGAACTTGCTCGCAGAGGATGGAATTTTACAATCTTTTTAAACCCTGTCGTAATAGGTAGATCTCGAGCTTTGCGAGAGCAGACCTATAGTAGCTTAGGGGGAGGAAAGTAGGCCTGCGGGAGAGGGGTGAAAGGGGCCAAAGCAGTAAGCGCTTCCATCGAACTCTGTAAAGAAAGAGCGCGAGGGCATAGGTAGAATGGAGACTCTAGTTGCTAGCCGCTTTAAGCTTGAACGAAGAAAGCAAGAAAGTCAGTCTTCTTATCGCTCGACCCTATCAGGAAATGTGCTTCAAGCATGAATTACGATCCTATCTATCAATCCTGATTATTGAACCTTAGGAGAGTGAAGTTACTGTAAGGAGAAGACTTTCTTTCTGTATAGCTCTAGATAGCGTTCTCATACGTCTTCTAATCCTCATGTGGATTCTTACCCATATTCATCATGACTTTTTTGATTTCAAAGTAAGAATCTCCCTATTCTCTTTAGGCTGCTGGGATAAGACTTTGATAGGGAAAGAAAGACTGATTACCTTTTACCTTACCCTATGGAGCCTGACTTGAAAGATTGTGGGCAATGTATTCTAAAGCCCCTCTTGACAATGGGTTAGGTCGTTTTTATATTTCTAACTATGAGTGACTACGTGCCTAGAGCAAGGCTCGTGGAACTACGTACCTCTTTCTATCCATAGAATCTCTTCCTTATTCTATCCCTAAAAGCTATCTTTCAACATCTACCATCGTATAAGTTTTGTAGCCTATTGAAATGAAAGGGTATAGGATACGAACAAAGTCACTCAACTAGCTTGTTGAGGAACGATGTTGACTAATTGCAACTCAGTGGTACGAAGTCACTCAATTTAACCTATGACGCCCTTTACTTCTTAGCCTTATCAGTCGCCAACATTCCAACTGTGCGAGAGGGGAGTGTAGTCACTCGAAGAGGACAGCTAATATCTCCTCTTGGATGTATGCCTTCTTTCCTATGCAGGGAAATACCTATGGTGGGACAGGGTAGTACCCTTGGACTACTTTGGATGTTGTCTGCCAACTATGCTTCTTCTTCAGTAGTCTTAGATGCGCACTACTGGTCAGTCACTAGTCTCTGATTTCTAAATGGTTGAGACTTTTGTCTTATCAACTATAGTTAGTGAAAGCAGCTACCTACTTGCTTGATGCTAGGTTTCCCGACCCTCTTTAGGCTTCTTAGGTCATACCGTTGGTGCCCGGCCTAACCTAAGCCTAAGTAGAAGGCAATGCAATATAGAGGACGGAGATTGAGTGAGATGCTTTTGTCTTATGAGAACTCCGATTGATTGAAGGATGTGGCATCCATTCATGTCACTGACATCCTGGAGTAAGATGAGTCTACCAGTCTCTTTGACCCGATCGGGTTATCCTCATATTATTCAGTTCTTGCTGAAGCGGAAGATTTGGGATAAACCTTCTTTACCTATCGATTTGTGGTTAGGTCAAGGCATGCCCTTGAATCCGTATCTCAAAGGTTTGGTGATAAACCGCCTTTGAGAAGTCTACAAACCCGTAGTGTAGACTTAAAGGCCCCTCCAAAAGAACTCAAAAAGTCAGAAATGTTTGAGTTCTTAGAAGAGGTCACTTTGTTAAGGTCGTGGACTAGCTTAACTATGGTAGATGGTATTATACAGTAGCCTTATCACCTGGTGTCACTTTCGAGGATTTTATCAAAGCACCTATCCCACTGGAAAGTGCGTCAAGAGGATCCGCATCTAGTCCGTTTTGGAATAATGTGGAAACTCTACGATGAGGTTGCTAAGAGGTCCCTGAACTACAGCCCACCTGTCTTAGATGTGGGTTCGGATAATGGGGCTTTCCTCCTTGGAGGTCTCTCTGGTACTGAGTACCTTGTGTATGCTTCTGGGCTTAACCAGCCTAGAGCAGGGAGAGGAGCGAACCAAGCTTGAAATGGGAATTGAGAGGCACAAGATAGCCCTCAAAAAAAGGCAAAATTCACTAAAGGGCCTCCCAAGAGTTCACCTATGCTAGTTAAACTAAAAGGCTCTGTCAATACAGTAAACCGATGCCTTACAGTTTCATATTATAGACTCAAAACCTTGCTTTGCATCTGATTTTTCCTGGTATTAAAATTCCCTCCTAGACTTTACTTAGGAATTATTATTCTATCTAATAGCAGACGATTCGTAACATCTGAGATGAGAAGGAAGATGGTTATGTTATTAGCTTTTAAAAAAAGTTAAATGAAGAAGCGCGTGCGAGACTTTCTTGCTCGGTGATCAAGAAATTGTTAGACACATAATTGTATTGGATAGTCATATTAACGTTATCCCAGGCAAGATAAAATTTTCACACTAGCTGTTCAAGGAATGAACTATCGAATCGACTAGCAACTTTGTCCCTTAGTTGTCCAGCTTGCCTTTCACTAGTAATTCACAATTAAGAAAAAAATAAAAGATTTAAATAGAATATGTCAAGATCAGCTACTCCTTTATCACTTGCTTAGCTGGAAAGCAGAGACCCACGAAGGCGCAATCCGAGTGACAAACCATTGGCGCAGATTGATGGAACGTCTTTCCTCTTAATTACCGTCTTCAAGGCCACCGAGATAGCATCTTCCAAGGCAACACTCTTATGAGACAATAAAGAACAAGTGCCCATATTAAACAAAAGAGAACAATGAGACAGATCTTCTTCCGGAAAGATCCACCCCATTTTTTGCACTAGGATTTACTTGATAGCTCATAACTATACCGGAAGAGGGGTCCGCTGCCTATTTAGTCGGCTTCTTGGGAGGGATCTTCCCCTTTTTCTTTTTTGCATTATCGGTTCGGTAGTAGGTTCCAGCTTGAACATGATGGATCCAGCAGCAGGTCAACCAGCTGCCAATCTTGCTGCGGAGCAACCCTCCAACGGGTCTTCCGGCGCATCGACCTCGGGCTTGAGGAGCTTCGAGGAAAGGGTCTTGTTGGAACCGATGCCACCTTCAGGCGAAGGAAGAAACGGGCATCATGGTAGCAGTAACCCATCGGGCGAAGGAAGAGAGAGACATCATAGTAGCAGTAACCCTTCGGTAAATCAACCGCAAGCAGGTGAACAAGCTATGCCTCCCGCAATTCCTGTAGCAGCCAGGGAAGCTGAAGCCGGTCCATCTCATGTGATCCCCTTTCCATATCATGAGGAGGAAGTGATCGGGGGGGATTCGGTTCTATCGATCAAACACCGCCTTTTGGCAAAATATGGCTCTCCTTCCGCCAAGGTCATTAAATTAGCTCAGATAGAGGCGGAAGATTACTTCGAGATCAAGGTAGATGTAATCAGGCAGATGATACCCCTTGATCCCGAAGGAGATTGGGAACGCCGGGGTGCTCGCGCTCTCGATAACCCTCGGACCAAAACTAGGGAGGAGTCCTTGGAAAAACTTCACTATATATGTGAAAGGCTTCGCCAGCACGACTCGGAAACTATTAACCATTTGAAAGAAAGGATGATCTTTCGAAAAAGAGATGATGACTCCGAGTCCGTAACATAAGGGGAGCTCTTATCGAAGGAGTGGTTTGAGCACCGTATAGGTCGACTCATCACATCCTGGGGTTGAAGAAGGTCCCAAGGGTTCGGTTGTTCGCCGATTCAAGTGGTACGTGAATTGGGTTTAGAACGTCGTGAGACAGTTCGGTTCCTATCTACCGTTGGTGTTAAAGGGAGAACTGCGAATTGCGCGGCACATTTTATTAACTTGGTTTATGCCAGGTATGATTTTTCACAAAGTGGAAAGTCAGAGGAAAGCGTAAACCAAGCACCAAAGCCCGTACTTGAGCTATAACATTTGAATTTCTTGATCATTCTACGTTCCCAAAATGGATCTTATCAAATATTTCACATTTTCTATGATAATCTCTATTTTAGGTATTTGGGGAATCCTCCTTAATAGACGAAATATTCTTATTATGTTAATGCCAATTGAATTAATGTTATTAGCTGTGAATTTGAACTTTTTCGTATTTTCCGTTTCTTCGGATGATATGATGGGTCAAGTATTGCTTCATTGGTTCCAACGGTGGCAGCTGCGGAATCTGCTATTGGGTTAGCCATTTTCGTTATAACTTTCCGAGTCCGAGGGACTATTGCTGTAGAATTTATTAATAGCATTCAAGGTTAAACATGATTCCTAGCGAATTACCAAAATACGAAGTTCTCTTCTCCTTTCGTTCTCTTCTTTCTTTTTGATTTTTTTTTGACTTGGTTGGCAGGGTCAGGGCCTTTCTCGCTGGGCGAGCGCATCCGATTGATTCTAAAGTCCTTTCCTAAACCACTTCCCGTTTAGTTGCTGAAAGATAGAGAGAACCCTTCTAAATGAGATTGAGTTCCACGGCTAGAAAGATGCTATTTGCTGCTATTCCATCTATTTGTGCATTAAGTTCGAAGAAGATCTCAATCTATAATGAAGAAATGATAGTAGCTCGTTGTTTTATAGGCTTTATCATATTCAGTCAGAAGAGTTTAGGTAAGACTTTCAAAGTGACTCTCGACGGGAGAATCCAGGCTATTCAGGAAGAATTGCTGCAATTCCCCAATCCTAACGAAGTAGTTCCTCCGGAATCCAATGAACAACAACGATTACTTAGGATCAGTTTGCGAATTTGTGGCACCGTAGTAGAATCATTACCAATGGCACGCTGTGCACCTAAGTGCGAAAAGACAGTGCAAGCTTTGTTATGCCGAAACCTAAATGTTAAGTCAGCAACACTTCTAAATGCCACTTCTTCCCGTCGCATCCGTCTTCAGGACGATCTAGGCACAAAGTTTCGCATATTAATTGGGAGGAGATTTTGCCCCAGGTGTATCACGAAAGCAGAAAAAATAGAACTCATTGAAGAGAGCTTGGTAGTCTTAAGAATGGTTCGGGGGGAGCCTTCTCTTAAGAATAAATAAAGAAGACGAATAGAAGATAATTCATGTTCATGCGAGAAGAAAACTAAACTGTCAGTCCGCTTGCACGGGCTGTTATTTCAAGTGGGATTAGTCCGGATTATTTGACCGATGTCAACATTCTCGCCAACGCCTATTGCATTTTGATGGAAAAGGGACCTGGTAATGAACTTATGACAGAAGCCCTGAAAATCCTGCAGCTATGGCAACACGGGTTACCCATTTCATAGGCGAGGGTGGGGGACAGGTTTGAGGACCTGTTGGTCAAAGAAAATGCAGATAGATTGTATAAAAGAGCGCGAGTTGATGTCGGTATTGGAAACGTCTTCAGTTCTTTGATCCATTCTGTGGTGCGAAATCCATCATTGGCAAAACAATTATTTGGTTATGCGTTTTGCTCTAACCGAAGCCATAGCCTTGTTTGCCTTAATGATGGCCTTTTTGATCTCATCCGTATTCCAATCTTTGATTGAAGGTTTCTGCGGGCTAGTCCCCGAAAATGCTCGTTCTAAAGTTGGGGTTATGATGATTAGTTCCATTTCTATGATATTGAATTTTGATCCAAGGTGAGCTGAAGGGGAACTTTAGGAGTAGATAAGACTAGGTGCCAGTGCTGGCGCCTGCGGCACCGCTATAGGTCGCAGTCTAACGCCACTTCTTGGGACCGACTGAGGGATTTTTTTGGTAATCAGCTCCCATGCAGCAAACAGTAAAATCTGCCGCTCTCGCTCGCCAACACTACAGACAAAAACTAGTTTGCACCTTTAAGGGGTACTACTTTTCCTGCGGTATTCCACCTCCTAGGGAAGGTTCTTCATACTCGATTGCCGTTCTATTCTCCTCTTCAGACGTGTCCCAATAGGCCGGCGGGCTCATTCTTGCACCTATTGAAGGAATTGAATCTGCTGCATCGATCAAATCTTGTATTGCGTGAATGAGCAAGTAGGGGGCAGAAACTAAAGAGGTAGCGAAACTAAGCACAATTTCTGTGCTTCCTCAAACAATTCGGGAACTAGTTGTTTACAGTCCGCGTCCTCAACTAGTGGCAGCTGAAAAACGTAAGCACATCTCGGATAGGGGAAAGGCTTTTCTAGTTTTCTAAAGTCCTGCGGCGTGGTGGCTGGCTGGGCTCAGGGTTTACTCTATAAAAGAGGAACGATAACCAATTTCCTAACCTCCATAACGATTTATTCCTCCCAATAGGATGCTGCCGAGTTCCTTCGACATGTTTCTCTCAAGCCCTTTAGGGATAGGGGCGAAAAATAAGTGGACAATGCTATAAAAAGAAAAGTAGTCGTAGCAAGTCCGCCCTGAAATTCTAGTTCTCAAGCCAGCCGAGAACTTCTTCCAAGCGTTCCCGCGTTAGTAAGTATAAAGCTAGCGTAGCGCCTGCCGGCGAGGTCAATTGAATTCTCTTATTAGCTTACTCAAAAGGGATTTCTATAGTTACGGATGAAAAAAATATAAGACCAACAGCTTTTTCTCATACTCCACCACCAGGTATTCCAGAAAAAGGAAATCCAGTTATGCAATAATAAAGAAATAAGACTAAAGCCTATTGGCTAGAGCACCAGCTATTGACCGAAGCATAATTGACTTCGAAAGGGGAACGACCTGAGGAGAATCGCGGCAATCACAAATCCCTTGAGACCTTATACCCGGCTGCAACCAATACTACTTTACTTCGAATTGATTGAAATACAATCACTTTTTTTGGAGGAGTAGTCGGGACGGACTATTTCTCCCCTAATGAAAACCATGTGTTAAGCAAGGTTACGATCAAAGTGAAGATATAACATCTACCTCCAGGACGTTACCGCCTTTCCTTCCAATATCAGAAGCCCATTTCTTACTGTAGGGTAAATTGGATGGATTGTGCGGATAGTGGAAGCCTAGGATCATTGTTACGGTTGGATGTAGATGGGGGTGCATGCAGGAAAGACCTTACTCCAAGTAAGGGTACCTGTGAACAGCTGTCGGGTGTTCGTCGATCCGATACCTAGATCGATCCGTCCTTTTACGGGTCGTCCATGGTAACCTGAACCGGAGGAAGCACCTCCTAATGTTCCTAGCGGACTGACCTTTCCTTGTTCTAGTTACCGCTCCGTGGGAGCCTAGCTTCACTAACTCGATTAGGGGCCTCATCGCAATTCGTAGATAAACGCTATTCCTGACTAGAGCTCCTCTTACTCTTAGATGAGCGAAGCGTTGATTCAAGGAAAGCTGAATCCAAGTCTTTCAATGAAGGGCATTTGCTGAGTTGATAAGACATTTAAGGAGAGAAGAGTTCCACATCTTCCTATAATTCCTATCTATGTCCGGATCGCCTTTTGCCGCTTCCTTCTTCTTTAGTTTAGCACCTTTCCTTCCGCCAGATGATGCAGGTATGCCGACATTTGCTATTGGGTAGTTCCTCGATTTCGAGTCGGAGATTGCTGAGTGTGCGCTTCTAGCTCGTACATGAATTACCTTTAGTATGCTAACAGGATCGGATGCCCTTGGGCAATATGCCAAAGAATCAGATTCAGAACAAGATTCTCACTCTGGAGTACCGAGCTTTTTGAATTGAAGCCCGGATCCGGATAAAGGCCATTTATACAACCAATATGCTCGTCTTGGACCACGATCTCAGGCTTGCTTACACGCAGGACTGGGAGTATGTGTGCACAGATATCCCGCACCTAAGAAGGCAGTGAGTGCCGTGTTGGCCGTAAGAACTGGATCTCGATTCAGTGTGGGCTTGCTAATCATACTAAGAGTTTATTAGTTTAAGAAAACTGATATGCGATATGTTACTTATTATTATTATACTTCTATAAGTTATACTGATATTACTGAAAGAATCTTAATTCAGCGGAGTGGTGCTAACTTACCCGGTAAAGGCAGAGAGATAGGAAAGATCCCCTCGACCCCGGATTCTCCCCACTCGAAGACACCATCGCAGCCCAACTCCAACACATGCAAATAAGTCTCGACGCACAGACTCTTTCAATATTAAATTCTCTGCGACATCTCTTATCCACCGCACACTCACTTATTCTCGACGCGCTGCTTATTCTTATTCACCTTCCTCTCCTCTCCAGTCGAGCACTTCAGTCCTCTCGCTTCGCTCTAGTCACTTACGTGCCAGCAGACAGCTAGATTCTTACTTTTAAAACAACGTTTCTTGATTCATATGGATGATTCCACATAATGATCAGAAAAACGCATTCTAAGGCCCTCTAGAGCCCTTAAGAGCGAAAGAAGATCTGAAGGAGGAAGTAACGCCATCCGCCCACGAGTTTATGGTTCCAGCAGGCAACCTGGCATACCAATCGAATGCAGTCTCGCGGAGAGCGGGATCCCTTAACGAAATGTTTAGCCAAGTAGCAGCTAAGAAAGCAATCAGTTCGCTTTTCGGCTTAGACTGATGAGGCAATGAAGTAGGCTCTGACTGCCTATTGGCTTCTCTTACTAATCCCTTGGAATCAGTTACTAGTCCATTCTCTGCCACCTAAGAAATTTCAATCCAGGGCATAAATTCAACTATTAAAGCTTAGCTTCAAGCGAGAGATGCTAGAATCGTCTAAGTCAGTCTTACTACAGGCGATCGTTTGTGCACGATAAGCAGCTATCTAA